CGGGAGCCATAGAGATACAAAGGATGATCGGAGATAACAGAGCGTCTAGTGAAAGTAATTTGGTGAGTTTTGGTACTTGAAAATTTAAAACCCATGCGTGGTGGCCCAAGTGGAAACACGGTCGACCGCATGCTGGAGAGAAACTGCAATAAGGTGACAGTCAGCGCCTGCACAAGCAATAGCGAAGTCATGAACATAGAGTGATGACCAAATATTGGGTGGAAGAACAGAGGCCAAATCATTTATAGCAAGGAGAAAAAGTGTTGTGCTTAGAACACATCCCTGAGGGACACCTTCAGCTTGGACGAAGTCCGGGGAAAGAACATTATTGACTCGAACACGGAAATGTCTGTCAGTTAAAAAGTTCTTAAGGAAGGATGGTAGATTGCCTCGGAGGCCTAAGGAATGGGCCTGGGCCAAAAATTAAACCTCCAAGTTGTGTCATATGCCTTCTCAAGGTCAAAAAATATGGCAATAACTGAGTGATTATTCGCAAAGGCATTACGAACATACGTATCCAAGCGTAGTAAGGGGTCTATGGTAGAACAACCCTTATGAAAGCCATATTGACTAGCGGAGAGACTATTGTGTCTCTCTAAATACCACATTAAACGTCGATTTACGAGACGTTCCATCACTTTGCAAACTGCACTAGTAAGAGCGATGGGGCGATAGTGGGAGGCATCATGTCCTGTAGTACCCGGTTTGCAGAAAGGGAGAACAATGGCAGATTTCCACAGCTGGGGAAGAACTCCTTGTGCCCAAATAAGATTGAAGAGGTGTAAGAGGACTACAAGGGCTGACCGATGTAAATGTTGTAACATACGAATATGAATGTCGTCAGGCCCAGCTGCCGATGATCGGCAAGCTGAGAGCGTTGCCTCCAGTTCTTGAAGTGTAAAAGGCACATTATACTGTTCTTCTCTGAGAGAAGAAAAGTCCAAGGGTACTAACTCTCTGGCAGACTTTGAGAAAGAAACGAGGGCATAGATGGAGCCCTCGAGAAATACGGACCAGATGTGTGCCAAGTTCAATGGCAACGTCGAGAGGGTTTGCTACATCAACACCAGCGACCCGTAGAACAGGAGCCGGGTCAGGAGAGTATTTACCACTCAATTTCCTCACTTTTTTCCAGACTGCACTCATAGAAGAAGCAGAGGTGATGGTGGAAACAGTCTCGCCAACAAGTGCGTTTAGCTTCACGGATGACACGGCGAGCGATCGCACGCTTCTGCTTAAAATCAAAAAGTCTCTCAGCGGTTCTATTGTACCGGTACCTGCCCCATGCAGCACGTTTCAAACGTACGGCACGAGCACAAGCAGGAGACCACCAAGGCACTCACTTCTGAGAATGCCTGCCTGAGGTTTGGGGTATAGAATGAGACGCTGCAGTATAAACTGACGTCGAGAAGATGTGTAGGAGCTCATCAATGGAGGATGAAGAAGGAACATCACTAAAAGCAGTGAGGTGTGAGTAAAGATCCCAATTTGCCCAATCAAATCGCCAGCGAGGGCTACGGAAAGGTGGTGAATAGGAAGGAGAAGTAAGAATGATCGGAAAATGATCGCTGTCATGTAAGTCTGGTAGAACAGACCAGGTGAAGTCTAGTGCAGTGGAGGAAGAGCAGACTGATAGATTGATGCAAGAGAGAGTATGAGTACGAGGATCAAAATGGGTGGGAGTACCCGTATTTAAAACATGGAGGGGGTGAGAGGCGAGAAAAGCCTCCAATTGGATGCCACATGAGTCACAATGAGACCCCCCCCCAGAGGAAATGGTGGGCATTAAAATCACCAAGTAACAGAAGTGGTGGCGGTAAGGATAAAACAAGAAAGGCAAAGTCTGGGATAGAAAATGCCCGAGAAGGAGAGAGATATAAAGAACATATTGTAAACCATTATCAAGTGGATACGGGCTGCAGTGTAATGCAGCGAGGTATGGACAAATAGTTGACAGTACGGAATATCATTGCGTAGAAGAAAGGCACTTTCATTAAAGGTCCCATCTGAGAAAGGATCCGAAGAATACAATAAATTATAGCCTGAGATAGGTTGGAAAACAGCCGAGTGTAATTTTGGTTCTTGTAAGCAAGCACCAACAGGGGAAAACCTGGAAAGCAACATCTGAAGCTCACCCCGATTACCTCTGAGGCCGCGGATATTCCACTGTAAATAGGCCATGATTGGCGATGAAGAAAATACCAGGAATCTGTAGGTAAAGGCACCTACGGACTAGAGGGGTTAGAAAAGTCAACGTGTGGTGGCATTGGAAGACGTTCAGTAGCGAAGGAACGGAGCGTTGCGAAGAAATGGGGTTGTGAAGATGGAGGAGAGGGAAGAGAAGGAACAGGAAGTGAATCAGTGTCCACTGAAGGTTTAGTCTCTGCAATATATTCTGAAATGGCTTCAAGTGTTTCTGAATTCAAAGATGTATGGGAGACCATATTGGAGATAGAAGGAGGAGGGTGAGTAAAGAATTGGACAGTAATTGGACTGTACCCAAGTAGAGGGGGAGGGAAGAGTGTAAGATACTGGAGATGAAGTGTGGGGGGGGACAGAAGAGGCAGAAACCTGGGAGGTGACAGAAGAGGGAGAAACTTGGGAGGGGACGGGGTGGGAAGACATAGTACGAGGAGGAGGGTGAATCTCCACACTTGTAATAGAGCCAGAGAGGAGGGGAAGAACTAGGTACAGAGACTGGAAAGGTAAAGTGTGGAGGTGGAAGAAGGGAAGGAAGGGGCAAAGAAGATTTGAGCAATGTGGATTTTTTTGGACTTCTGAGTAGGGGCGATTGGTATTAGGTGTCGTACGAGGTCTTGTCGATACTGGGGCTTGTGAGGAAGGACGCGAAGATGTGAGAACAGACTGAGTTGTAGTCGGGACGTCAGAGCCAAGGACAGCAAAAGGATTAGATGCCGTAGTGGCTATGGGAGGGGTAATAACAGAGGAGGCTGCAGAAGATGGGACCCCAGAAGTGGGGGGATGTTTGGAAACACGAGAATAAGAAACACGGGGTAGTCTCCCTTGGAGGCGGAGATGAGTAACTGCCATAGCATAAGGAGACCTTCTGCCTCTTTGAGGCAACGGATTCACGTTCATTTAAGTAGACCTGGCAACGCGGGAGTACGAAGGGTGAGCTTCATTACAATTAAGGCAAGATGGAGTTGACTGCAAGATGTATTAGAATGATCGTCGGCACCACAGACTGGGCATTCGGCCATAGATCTGCAATATTTCGCTGGGTGACCAAAACGCCAGCAATTTCTACATTGTTGCGGTGTAGGTATCACCTTTCGAACTTGTAACCGATGTCCCGCGACATATACAGAGGACGGGAGTTCTCGGCTGTCAAAAGTTAAACGAGCCACATTGCAAGGGTAACGTCTCCGCCCCCGGGCAGGAAGGGACATAAGTGTCTACTTTGAGATTGGGAGATCCTGGAGTTCCAGCTGTTCAAAAATGTCATTGCCACATGACTGGAAATTCTGTTGGACTATGGTATGGGGCAGAATGACAGTACCACTACAAGAATTGAGAGAAAGATGTTTTTCAATAGTGATAGGAGTAGTATCGATATTCGAAAGGAGAGAAAGATCATGAGCTTGGGTAGCATTCTGGACAGTGATGATGCGCATACCGCTCTTGAGAGCATGAAATGAAATATCTCTACCAACATGACGCAGGAGCGCTTTGCCAATACTATGGTCAGAAAGGTAGGCAGAAGAAGAAGTCGGTCTTAAAGTAAAGAATTTAGTCCATTGTGTGGTCCGAAACTGAGCGTGGAGAGGGAGTGCTTGACGTGTCGGTCTTTTCCGAGTAGAATGGGAAGGTAACGAAGGAGCATCATCAGGAGATTGACGTTGGCGTTTAGGAGTAGGACCGGAGTTGGTCCGGCGTGAAATGGGTGGGCGATTCGAAAATTGCCATACCGTAGAGGGAGAAGCCGGAAGCATAGTCAAAGGAGAGCGGAGTTCAGACAAATCGAAGGAGTCAGTCGAAGCCCCGGTACCTGAAGCGGGTGAGGAAACAGCACCAGCAAGAGGTACAGGGGCATCAGGAGTGTCCGAAGAGTGGTCTAAACACAAGGCAGGGTCAGAATGGGGTGCGGTATCAAGAAGGGGCCCGGGGTATTGGGTTCATGGACTAGGGCTGCCATGGTTAGGTTACTCCTTTGCTTTTTGTTTTTAAGAAAAAAAAAAGAAAGAAAAGAAAATAAAAATAAAAAAAAAGAATAAAAATAGGGGGGAGCGGGGAGGAATAGTTCCCAGGAGGAATGAAAGGGCCGGAAATCTCCCTCCGCGCCCAAGAGGACCTCAGCACCGCTAGTAGCGCAGATGCAGCATGGAACCCGTGCCATACCCTACCCTTCATGCCAGTAAACCAGCAATCCGGGATAGCAACCTCACATCTGCCGAGCTACCTCGGTGGACAAAAGAGAGGGTGGCCGGATATCCGCCACAAAGCATACCTCCTTCGGCCACCACACCCGGAATCCGAAAGGTGGCTTCCAGAGATAGACCCGTCGCCCGAAAGACACCCAAAGCTACTCCGGGATACCGGAGAGGGATCGGGACATCCCCAGGCAATCCAGAATCCACAGCAAACTACGCCACCGCCAAGAACCTCAACGGAATGGGATGGACCCCGGTGTCCTTTCCCCTACCTAGGAACTAGCGCGCCTGTGGGAGAAATCCCAAAGGCCAAAAAGAGGAAGGGCAAAAGGGAGGGGTGAGGAGGAATGGAAAAAGGGGAGGATGGGGAGGATGGGATAGGGGAGGGGAGAATGGGGGGTAATTAGGTTCGGTCTGAGGAAGAAGACCGACAGGGATAATTCCTCAGACCAAGAGCCTCTTCACCACGCCAAGGAGCCCCCCTTGAAGAGGACAAAGTTGGATTAATGTAGCAGAACTTGTATAAAGAGGAAGAGCATTTCATTTTTATTTAGCATCAACTGGCGTACTTTATTGAAACTGAGGATTACTGAATTCCAGACACGTTAATACCTATATAAGAATTCATTTATTTTAAGAATGTCACTACCTATTTACAGTTAATTAACATTACAGACAATACACCTATAAAGTAATATTTTACCTTGAATGGAGAGCAAACAGCCTTACAAGTAGTTCACATGAAAAACTTATAAAATACCTTGATTTGCTTCTTCCATCAAAGTATATAAACTTATTTCACTTTTCACAATCCTTTGTTTAAATGGGGCTGGACTTAAAGCCCCGAGCAGCATAATCAGCACCTTCCTTCCTATCTGACACCAAGGGATATCTAGGATCACCAGGAGTGACCATCTCTCTGCTGTGTATAACTCGCCAGCCACCTTTGCGCGTCCAGTCCTGTGAAAATGAATTAAAATAGTTCTCAAAATAATTTACCTACTGTTTAATAGTACGAGAATGAACTCAAATTGCCTAATCATTATACAGGTCTCCCTCAACATTCGCATTTTCAACATTTGTGGGCTTCACACATTCGCGAATTCCCAACCGCCAAATCATATTTAAGTTTCCCGCCACCTGCGAGTCCCTATTACCCTCCCTCGGACCCCCATAACTGGCAGCCAGCCCTCCCACCACTGTGTGGCGAGTGTTTTGTTTCTTCATTATTTGCTATTAACCAGTAAACGGTCCAAACGTATATATACGTTCACTACCATACTGCCCCAACTTTTTTGAGAAAAAAAAATTGTTTTTTAATAGGAAAAAAGAGCATATGGTACCCAGGCATCCCCAATTATTTTAATATGGCACACAGTGAGTGCTCACACCCATTGTCTCATGTCTAGGCGACTTAGGCTTATCGTAGCAATGTTAAATGTATGACACATAAAACATATACGTATATACGTTTGGACCATTTACGGGTTAAACTACAGTATAAATAATGTCAACCCATTCATGACTGCATATTGAAATGGCTATTCGGACAGGTATTGGACGGTGACATCATATGTTTACTCTTGAACACAGCAAAGAATTAAACATTTCTGCTACTGCTAATAATAACAGTAATAGTAATAATAATAATAATAATAATATTAAGTAGTAGGTTGGTAGACAGCAACCACCCAGGGAGCTACTACCGTCCTGCGAAGTGAGTGTAAAACGAAAGCCTGTAATTGTTTTACATGATGGTAGCATTGCTGGTGTCCTTTTTTCTGTCTCATAAACATGCAAGATTTCAGGTACGTCTTGCTGCTTCTACTTACACTTAGGTCGCACTACACATACATGTACAAGCATATATATACACACCCCTCTGGGTTTTCTATTTTCTTTCTAGTTCTTCCTCGGTGGGATATGGCCGATGTGTTGAAAGGATAATAATAATAATAATATTAGGTAGTAGGTTGGTAGACAGCAACCACCCAGGGAGGTACTACCATCCTGCTAAGCGAGTGTAAAATGAAAGCCTGTAATTGTTTTACATGATGGTAGGATTGCTGGTGTCTTTTGTCTGTCTCATAAATATGCAAGATTACAGGTACGACTTGCTACCTCTACTTACACTTAGGTCGCACTACACATACGTGTACAAGCATATAAAAAAGACCTGGAAAATACTTTCCCAGATTCTGGGGACCCACAAACTGAAAAAAACCAAGAATATTGTTCTAACTAAACCTCATGAAACACCACTGCATCCCACTGATACAGCTAACAAGAAAAACGACTTCTTCTCAAACATACGATCTAATCTCGCCAGTAAAATCATATGTACCAATGCCCGTGCAGGGGACTATCTAGATGGGAATTTCCCAAATTCCTTCTATCTTGTACCAACTGAGCCCATGGAAGTCACCGCGATCATAAAGTCACTTAAAAATAACTCGGGGAATCTGTCTCACGTCCCACCATTATTGTACAAGCGAGCGGACCATGTCCTTTCGCATGCTATTACATTACTTTTTAACAAGTCACTAGAAACTAGCACTTTCCCGACACTACTCAAGACAGCAAGGGTTACACCAATACATAAAGGTGGTGACCCTACAGACGTAAACAACTATAGGCCAATATCAAACTTACCGTTGCTATCCAAAATCTTCGAGAAACGTGCACAGGAGACTATATTAATTTATAACGTCACAAAACATACTCAACCCCTGCCAATTTGGATTCAGGAAAAATAAAAGCACTAATGATGCAATTACAAAAATGCTAGACCTGCTTTACACAGCATTGGAAAATAAGGAATATCCGCTAGGAATTTTTATTGACCTAAGAAAACACAGTAGACCACGGCATCCTACTCCATAAACTTGACCACTATGGTATAAGAGGCCATGCGCTTGCATATTTTAAATACCTTTCTAATAGGTATCAGTATGTCACCATTAAAGACAAAGCATCAATATGGCCACTTGATACTGGAGTTCGGCAGGGAAGTGTCCTTGGACCCCTGCTCTTCCTCATTTACATCAATGATCTTCCAAACATATCCCAACACCTGAAACCCATTCTCTTTACTGACGACAAGACTTATGTCATCTCCCACCCTCATCTTGCCACCCTCAACACCATTGTCAACGAGGAACTGTTCAAAATATCGACTTGGATGACAGCCAATAAACTTACACTTAACACTGGCAAAACCTACTATATTATGTTGGTAGCAGAGCAGGTGTTGCGCATCTTAACATTAAGATCGACAACACTCAAATTGCCAGACATAACGAGCGCAAATTCCTTGGCCTATACCTCGGCAACAACCTAAATTTCAGCACCCATATCCAACACATAACAAAAAAAGTATCCAAAACGGTGGGGATCCTCTCCAAGATACGATACTACGTGCCGCAAACTGCCCTTCTCACACTATACCATTCACTTACATATCCATACCTCACCTATGCTATCTGTGCTTGGGGTTCAACTGCAGCAACACACCTAAAGCCAATAATAACTCAACAAAAAGCCGCAGTAAGAATAATCACTAAATCCCATGACTCACTAAATCATAATGACACGATTGCAAACAAACCATACCCCGGCCGGGATTGAACCCGCGGTCAGAGAGTCTCAAAACTCCAGCCCGTCGCGTTAGCCACTAGACCAGCTAGCCACAATAAGATTCGTCCAACTAGGTATATTTCTACACCATAGGAAGGTTAGCACAGGCACCACTGTGACCACAAATGCAAGTTTTCACAGACGAATCTCCAGCTAGCGTGGCTGTGACGAACTCTAGCTCAAGTCCCTTCACTGCCGTCAACATGACGGTTTGTTTGCAATCATGTCATTACGATTTCGTGAATCATGTTGACGGCAGTGAAGGGACTTGAGCTAGAGTGCGTCACGGCCACGCTAGCTGGAGATTTGTCTGTGAAAACTTGCATTTGTGGTCACAGTGGTGCCTGTGCTAACCTTCCTATGGTGTAGAAATATACCTAGTTGGACGAATCATATTGTGGCTAGCTGGTCTAGTGGCTAACGCGACGGGCTGGAGTTTTGAGACTCTCTGACCACGGGTTCAATCCCGGCCGGGGTATGGTTTACTAAATCCCATCCCTGGCAACACCCCCCCCCACTCTTCATAGATTTAAACTTACTCCCTGTTCAGAACATCCACACTTACTACTGTGCAATCTATATCTACAGGACCTTAAATTCCAATATTAACCTTGACCTAAAACACTTTCTTGATAGTTGTGACAGGATCCACAGGCATAACACCAGACACAAACATCTCTATGACATTCCCCGTGTTCGACTAAACCTTTACAAAAATTCAATGTATTTCAAAGGACCTAAAATCTGGAGCACCCTACCTGAAAACTCTAGAACTGCAGACACATTAATCACTTTCAAAACTACAGTTAGAAAACATCTTATCTTCCTGATCCGCCCCGACAACTAACTACGTGATAACCATCTGGTGGTTCACAATTACACTCACTCACCCACTGACTATAAACTCAGAAATACTAATCTTATTCTTAAAATAATAAATCCTAACTAGTCATAAGTTTGCCTATGATACTCCAATATAGACACTTTGTATTGTGCCAAAACAAAAGCATTCACATTGCTAAACTTACAAATTATGATGTAGTCACTTAGCCTTAATACCATAATCAGTAAGGATTTAATGTTAAGAATTAATCTAAGTCTGCTCAAAATGCCTAGCCATGCTAGGTGTCCTAGTGGCCCCCTCTGTAATTAGTATTTTATAACTTGTAAACCACACAATACCCAAAACCTGTAAACCCCACATTGTAACCCTTATAGAGAATAAACTTGAACTGAATTGAATTGAATATATATACACACACCCCTCTGGGTTTTCTAGTTCTTGTTTATTTCCTCTTATCTCCATGGGGGAGTAGAACAGAATTCTTCCTCCGTAAGCCATGCGTGTTGTAAGTGGCGACTAAAATGCCGGGAGCAAGGGGTTAGTAACCCCTTCTACTGTATATATTACTAAATGTAAAAGGAGAAACTTTTGTTTCTCCTTTTGGGCCAACCCGCCTCAGTGGGATACAGCCGGTGTGTTGAAAGAAAGAATAATAATATTAATAATAATATTAATAATAAATACGATAGAATTGAAGAAGGAAATTGTACAAAAATGCGAGGGTTGAAGCAGTGGTGGAGGGAGTGGTTGACTCATCGTCAGTGTGGCTTTGTTTATGCTGGAGTGAGCATTAGTCTCCGTGCTCTTCCAACACATTTCACAATAATTCATTGTGTTTGGTGCTTGTAGACTGAGTGCGACTGGAGTGGTAGAGGCAGTGGTTGTGGCAGTGGTTGTGGCAGTGGTTGAGGCAGTGGTTGAGGCAGTGGGTGAGGCAGCAGTTGAGGAAGTGGTTAAGACAGTGGTTGAGGCAGCAGTTGAGGCAATGGTAGAGGCAGTGGTTGAGGCAGTGGTATTTAATAACATATATGTTATTAATAATAATAGTACATGTTATTATTAATAACATGTATTATTATTATTATTATTATTAATATGTATGCTATTAAATACCGCTGCCTCAACCGCTGCCTCACCCGCTGCCTCACCCACTCAATCTACAAGCACCAAACACAATGAATTATTGTTAAATGTTTGGAAGAGCACGGAGACTAATGCTCACTCCAGCATAAACAAAGCCACACTGACGTACTACTGATAACTGGTACACAAGCCCCTCACTCAGTGATTTTTTGCGAGTGAACATGACAGATGTGTGTGGCACAGTGCGTGCAAATCGGAAACATATGCCCAGGTTTGATGCTGGCACTCGTAGAGGTGAGGTGCAGGCGTTTGCTGCCAATGACATCATGGCATTTCGGTGGCATGACAAACGAGATGTCACACTGTTGTCATCAGTTCACCCTAATGAAATGGCAGACAGTGGCAGGCAGCATAGAGAGAGCAATGAACCCATTCTAAAACCTGCAGCTGTGATTGATTACACCTTCAATATGCGTTCAGTGGACAAATGTGACATGTAGATTGGGTTTGCTGATTTTGTTCGCAAGAGTTATAAGTGGTACACAAAACTCTTTTTCCATCTTCTGGACATTTCCATGCTCAATGCTTATATGTATAAGATGAGGACCAGAAACAAACCACAATATGGCGAATTCTGTTTGTCTGTCATCAGACAAATAGTATTCAAGTACCAAGGAAGAACACCTGCAATAGACCACCCATCAAATTATCAACAACTACCCTCTCGTCTGAAGCATGGTGATCACTTCCTGGTAAAACTGCCTGCTACTGCTTTCAAGAAAAAGGCTCAGAAGAGGTGTTACGTCTGTGTACATACAAAAAAACACCCACAACAACGCAGAGACACTCATTTTATATGTGAGGAATGTAGAACACCACTGTGCATGACACCATGTTTCAAAGACTTCCACAGGCTGCAGAACTTCTAGAAACATTCCCTGTGACTGTATATGTGTATATAAAATATAAAAAAATAGTAATGAACAACATTTCATATCGTTTGTTTGTGTAAATATTTTTTATAAACAAAACAATGACAACAGTGTTTATGCCCTTATTGTGTAATATTGAAAAAGAAAAGACTTACAAAATACTGATCATATTGGTCTCACAGGCCATAAAAGTTACTTGGAAAAAGAAAAATTAAAAAACAATAGAAATTAGTACATAAGAAAGTAAATAAAAGAATACCGGGAGACAGCAGTCAGTGATGTTGCCACACTGTCCCCCTTTTTCATCAACTTCACGCCTCCATATCTCAGTAAGTATTGATGTTAAAAAATTTTTGTTTAGCCTATAATATTAAAAGAAAAAAAACTATTTTTTCATAAGAAAAAATAATTTTTTTTTTTTTGAAATTTGGCCGACCCTGAGAACGAGTCTCTGAGAGGACCTGTCGACCCTCAAAGGGTTAATAGCAAATAATGAACAAACAAAACACTCACCACACAGTGGTGGGAGGGCTGGCTGCCAGTTGCGGGGGTCGGAGGGAGGGTAGTAGGGACTCACAGTGGTTAAGGCAGTGGTGGAGGCATTGGTATTTAACAACATACATGTTATTAAACCGTAACATGTATGTATTTAGTACAATATACAATGTTTTCATGTATTTTATGATTGTTCATGGTTCAACAAGTTAAGGAAGCAGTATTGTATTATACGTGTATTTCCCTACAATATATTGGGGCACCAAACATTCGCGATTTTTCAACATTCGCGAGGCTCTTGATCCCCTAACCCTCGCAAATGTTGAGGGGGACCTGTATTCAGGAGGGTGTGCTAAATTTGTAAAGATCTAGGGGATTGGAAGTTAATCAAGTTTGATTTAACCCTTTGACTGTCGCAACCCCAAATCCTAAAGTGTCTGTGTCACGAGATTTTGAAAAAGAAAAAGAAAAAATCTTATGAAATGACAAAGAATCTTTTCCCAGTGTTAATGACACCGAAAGTATGAATTCTGATTGAAAACTTATGGAATCATGCTCTTGCAAAGTTAGCAATCTCAGCGATGTTTACACATCAGCAATTTTGCCCACTTTCAGCCCTGTCTGGCCAATTCCACTGTTCCAGTCGACTACCCCTCAAGGGAGGTTCCTTGACACTGATGAGGGGCTCTCAATCTAGGGAACTGAATCTGTGCTCAGTTCCCTTAATTGAGTCTGAATACCTTCCATCCCCCCCCCACATGCGCTGTATAATCCTACAGGTTTAGCGCTCCCCACGATTATAATAATTATAATAGTAATCCAGTCTACCAAGTTCATATCTATTTCTTTAGAACTTCATTTGTTTTATCGACTGACTACAAGAAACCTCTCATTAACTGATTTCAACTACCCAATAAAGTGGTCAGAAAGTGGCAATTTGGCCAATTTCACGCAAATTAAAAAAGATGCCAACTTCCAAATAGGGTCCAGAATGAACACTGCAAACATTCATGGCACTAAAATAACATTTTCTCTGTTTATCAGTCATGTCTCCAGGCCCCTCTTATACTCCTCTTGCTTTCTCTTTTGAATTTTTATTCACACAAAAAATTGAAGATTTACAGTTATGCAGACTACTGCATTATTGTAATAACTTTATAAATAATGTCAACCCATTCATGATAGTGTATTAGAATGGCTAGCTGGACACTTATTGGACAATGATGTCATTTGTTTACTTTTGAACAGTGGCAAAAATCGAACATTTCCTCTTCTTTGAGCTCAATTTCAAGGTAGTTTTCATCGTGAAACCAATCAAAATCATCTCTATTTCTGTAATCCATCTTCCATTCTATCAAATGAGACCATGAAAATGAGAATACAATCATAAATACTGTACGAAAATACACCTCAAAGTTGGTGTTTTAATCCAAAAACACGATCGGAGGTTTTTTATTCTTATTATGCACTGCGTACTGCAGGATTTTTTTTATACTGTGCACACTGACCACACAGACCCATTCTCTCATATGTGGGCCTACCAGCTTTCTCCTGCTTGATCTGAAGCCGCTAGAATTTTGGAGTATAACTACATCAAAAACACTGGCTCGTAAGACATATATATACAACCGAAACAGTCAAAGGGCTAATAAGAGACAGTATCTCCAATTTCTTGGATAAAGAGCCCTTCATCAGCATTAAAACACCTTTCTTGAAGGGAATTTCACTTTTCAATGTGAAGCTAGTACATAAAAATAACACATTCTCATTTCAATATGTCAGATTTTTAGTATAGTGGTCAATATCAATTTCTGAACTCAAGTTTTCCTTAAATGCTATTTTCTTCTGTTTGAAATTTTACCCTTTAATGTTACAAGGCCCCACTAGGGGCCCACATCTGAAAGGTTCCAGAACCCAATCAGAACATGAAATTGTTGACATTTTCTCTACCCAATAAGGAAACTCTTCATCCTCAACTAACCAGAGAGCAAGTGGCTGCCAAGCTACTTTAAAAATGATGCTTCCATTATTAAATTTTCAGAGCTCTTTTATATTTGTTTACCTCGCTTACACATCATAGTCACATTAATCCCATCATTTCATCAACCTCATTAATTATGGTCCTTCAATCTTTGCTTTCCCATTCACCATGAGGTCACTAAAGAAAATGGCATCACTGTATGACCCTTATGAGTTTAGTGTTTAATTTAAACAATAATAATAATAATAATGTTTAAGCAATTAAATATGAAGTTCTCTGAATTGCAAATATGCAATAGTACATAGAGCTGTTCTGAGCAATCTAGCAAACATTATCATTACTTGGTTTCCAGCTGTCATAGGGTGAAAAACAGAGTTTGGAAATTTTCAAAGTATACTATACTTACATTTTTGTTATATTTGAAGTAATAGTAAGCAGCATAAAGTGCTCCAATACCTAGGCAAAACCTTCCTGTGAACCAACGGTACTTGGCTGCTGATTCGTAACCCTGAAGACCATAAAGATTTAGAAGTAATATTTATGTTTAATGAATCTCAAATGTTCAAAAAATTCAAGTAGCAAAAGATATCAAATTTTTTTACAAGAACAGTTTTTCATAAATGTTACAGATTTGGGCTACCAGTTTACTTCCGCATTGTTTAGAATAACTCATAACTATGCACAGTATTTCAGGCACAATAAGGAACTAAACTACTCAAGGTATTACATAGTCAGAACTGAAATACAGAGGACCCTTGGTTTTCGTGATTAATCCATTCCAGAGAGTCTGTCGAAGACCAAAATTCACAAAAACCAAAACCATTTCCCCCATTAGAAATAATGTAAATCCAATTAATCCGTTCCAGACACCCAAAAATATTAAAAAATATTTTTTTTAGATTAAATATAGCTTTACATACAGAAAAGAATGGCAAATCAATATAAAGCAATAACAAAATCACACTTATCTCTATTAAAGACTTGTTGGTGAATGGAAGACGGGAGGAGGGGAGAGGGAGTAGAAGTTAATCTTGTTTGGAAGGAGAATCCCCTTCAATAAAGACTTCAGGTACCAAGTCCTTATCCGGGGTTACTTCCCTTCTTTGTTTTTTAATGGCACTAGGACCAGCTTGAAAGTCACTGGACCCCTGTCACTCAAAAAACTGTTTTAGAGAGCTCTGTTTCTGGCATCTCTAAGATTTGCCTAAAATGGGACAAGGCATTGTCAATGAACATGTCACAGGCACGGCCTACACCAGCTTTGTTAGGGTGATGCTCCTCCACAAAAGTTTGCACCTCATTCCACTTTGCACAAATGTCCTTAATCATTGAAGAAGGCACCTTCTTCCCTCTCTTTTCCTCCTCTGAAACAATTTCCTCAGCTGTGGTCTGTTGCTGTTGCAGATGAAGGTCTTGTAGCTCTTCAGTGGTTAGCTCTTCATTGTGGTCCTCCACCAACTCTTCCACATCCTGGCCACTCACATCCAACCCAATGGAATTCCCCAATGCCACAATACATTCCACAACCTTCTTTACCAAAGGGTTGGCACTAAAAGCTTTCTTTGGGCCCATGGTGGCTTACTTAGCAGTTGCAAGCACAAAAAACAATGGATTATTACGAAATGTTTCATATGAACGCAGGGGGCGATGCTCACTCATCGAGAAACAATGCCAGATTGACTCTAAAATGCATCTGTGGGAGGCTCTGTGTGCATGAGGCGACTGGGACACTTACCGTATGACCACCGAAATCCAAGGGATAACCAAAATTCACGAAATCTGAGACTCATGAAAATTAAGGGTCCACAGAAATTACTATTTAAACACAACTGGAGCATGCTTAACCATCAATTAAGATGGCAGTTATGTTATTGAAAATGTTATCCGTTAAAAAATTATCTAAAACAAACTGAAGAAAGTATGGGAAAACAGGGTTTTGTCCATTAGACCCCCAATAAAGAGCAAAAAATTTTTTAGATATCAAAATTTACATATGTGTACATACAGTGGACCTCCGCCTTACGAATGCATCACGTTACGTTAAATCCGCCATACAAAGCATTTGAATGCAAAAATTTTGCCTCGCCTCACGATAAAAAACTCGCCTTACATGATTCGTCTTTGATACGTCCCACGCGTGGCCTCAGCTGCCCCGTGGGTACCAGTGTTTACAAGCCAGCCAGTGCGGTCGCATCTAAGCATACATTCAGAATGCATATTATCACAGTGTTTTTAGTGCTTGTAGCTGCAAAATAAGTCACCATGGGCCCCAAGAAAGCGTCTAGTGCCAACCCTGTGGTAAAAAGGGTGAAAATTACTATGGAAATGAAGAAAGAGATAATTGCTAAGTACAAAAGTGGAGTGCATGTCTCGGAGCTTGCCAGGTTGTATACCAAGCCCCAATCAACGGTCGCTACTATCTTGGCCAACAAAACGGCAATCAAGGAAGTTGTTCTTGCAAAAGGTGCAAGTTTGTTTTTGAAACAGAGATCGGAAGTGATAGAAGATGTTGAGACTGTTATTGGCGTGGATAAATGAAAAACAGATAGCAGGAGATAGCATCTCTCAAGCGATCATATGTGAAAAGGCTAGGAAGTTGCATGGCGATTTAATTAGAAAAATGCCTGCAACTAGTGGTGATGTGAGCGAATTTAAGGCCAGCAAAGGTTGGTCTGAGAGATTTAAGAATCGTATTGGCACACATAGTGTGATAAGGCATAGTGAGGCTGCCAGTTTGGACCAAAAAGCAGCTGAAAAATATGTGAAGGAATTCAAGGAGTACATAGACAGTGAAGAATTGAAACCTGAACAAGTGTTTAATTGTGACAAAACAGGCCTGTTTTGGAAGAAAATGCCAAACAGAACCTACATTACTCAGAAGGAAAAGGCACTCCCAGGACATAAGCCTATGAAAGATAGGCTTACTCTTCTGATGTGTGAAAATGCTAGTGGTGATTGCAAAGTGAAGCCTTGATTGGTGTATCACTCTGAAATTCCCAGAGTGTTCAAGCAAAACAATGTCCTCAAGGCTAATTTGTGTGTGCTGTGGAAGGCAAACACTAAGGCATGGGTCACTAGGGACTTTTTCTATGACTGGTTACACCATGTGTTTGCCCCCAATGTGAAAAATTACCTCCTGGAAAATAAATTGGACCTTAAGTGCCTCCTGGTATTAGACAATGCTCCTGGGCATCCTTCAGACTTGGCAGAGCGACTTTCTGGGGTCATGAGCTTCATTAAAGTCAAGTTTTTGCCTCCTAATACCACTCCTCTCCTGCAGCCCATAGACCAGCAGGTAGTTTCAAACTTCAAAAAACTCTACACAAAAGTTATGTTTCAAAAGTGCTTTGAAGTGACCTCAGACACTCGACTGACTAAGAGAGTTTTGGAAAGATCAGTGTAGTATCCTCAGTTGTATAAACCTTATAGGCAAGGGTTGGGAGGGAGTGACTAAGAGGACCTTGAACTCTGCTTGGAAGAAACTGTGGCCAGAATGTGTAGAAGAAAGGGATTTTGAAGGGCTTGGGGCTAACCCTGAGAAGCGTATGCCAGATGTGGACTCCACTGTGGCATTGGGGAAGTCCTTGGGGTTGGAGGTTAGTGGGGAGGATGTGGAAGAGTTGTTGGAGGAGGACAATGAAGAACTAACCACTGATGAGCTGCAAGATCATCTTCAACAGCAAGAGGCCAGACCTGAGGAAACTGCTTCAGAGAATGGGAGAGAGAAATTGAGGAAGTTGCCTACTTCAAAGATTAAGGAAATGTGTGCAAAGTGGGTCAAACTGCAAACCTTTGCAGATGGAAATCACCCTGACACAGCTACTGCAAGCCATGTTGGCAACCTGTACAATGACAATGTTATGGCCCATTTTAGGAAAGTCATAAAGGAATGGGAGGTACAGAGCTCTATGGACAGATTTGTTGTGCAACAGAGGTCCAGTGACTCTCAAGCTGGCCCTAGTGGCATTAAAAGAAGAAGGGAAGTAACCCCGGAAAAGGACTTGCGGTAGCAAGTCCTAATGGAAGCGGATTCCCCTTCTAAACAATAACAACTTCCACTCTCTCCCCTCCTCCCATCCCATCAATCATCACCAGATCTTCAACAAAGGTAAGTGTCATGTATTCTATTCTTAGTAGGGTAGTAATTGTGCATGCCTTCTTCAGTTTGTGTGTATTAAAATTAATATTTCATGTGGTAAAATTTTTTTTTTCATACTTTGGGGTGTCTTGCACGGATTAATTTGATTTCCATTATTTCTTATGGGGAAAATTAATTTGCCTTACAATAATTTCGGCTTACGATGAGCTCTCGGGAACGAATTAATATCGTAAGGTGGGGGTCCACTGTATATATGTATGTATGTATGTATGTATGTATGTATGTGTGTGTGTGTGTGTGTGTGTTGTGTGTGTGTGTGTGTGTGTGTGTGTGTGTGTGTGTGTGTGTGTGTGTGTGTGTGTGTGTGTATATATATATATATATAATATATATATATATATATATATATTATATATATATATATATATATATATATTTATATATGCAGTGGACCCCCGGTTAACGATTTTAATCCGTGCAAGAGGGGTAATTGTTATGCGAAATAATCGTGAAGTAATGTAAAAAGAGAGCAAATGAGAGAGTGGGTGAGATGTTAACAAATTTTGTTGAAAATAAGAAAAAGTTTTGGAGTGAGATTAACAAGTTAAAAAAGCCTAGAGAACAAATGGATTTGTCAGTTAAAAATAGGAGAGGAGAGTTATTAAATGGAGAGTTAGAGGTATTGGGAAGATGGAGGGAATATTTTGAGGAATTGTTAAATGTTGATGAAGATAGGGAAGCTGTGATTTCGTATATAGGGCAAGGAGGAATAACATCTTGTAGGAGTGAGGAAGAGCCAGTTGTGAGGCAGTAGGTAAAATGAAAGGGGGTAAGGCAGCTGGGATTGATGGGATAAAGATAGAAATGTTAAAAGCAGGTGGGGATATAGTTTTGGAGTGGTTGGTGCTATTATTTAATAAATGTATGGAAGAGGGTAAGGTACCTAGGGATTGGCAGAGAGCATGCATAGTTCCTTTGTATAAAGGCAAAGGGGACAAAAAAAAGAGTGCAAAAATTATAGGGGGATAAGTCTGTTGAGTATACCTGGTAAAGTGTATGGTAGAGTTATTATTGAAAGAATTAAGAATAAGACGGAGAATAGGATAGCAGATGAACAAGGAGGCTTTAGGAAAGGTAGGAGGTGTGTGAACCAGGTGTTTATAGTGAAACATATAAGTGAACAGCATTTAGACAAGGCTAAAGAGGTTTTTGTGGCATTTATGGATTTGGAAAAGGCGTAAGACATGGTGGATAGGGGGGCAATGTGGCAGATGTTGCAGGTGTATGGTGTAGGAGGTAGGTTACTGAAAGCAGTGAAGAGTTTTTACGAGGATAGTGAGGCTCAAGTTAGAGTATGTAGGAAAGAGGGAGATTATTTCCGAGTAAAAGTAGGCCTTAGACAAGGATGT